AACAAATTTAGATTATATCATTTCAATAGTAATTTTTAAAAATCAATAAACCAATAAGAAAGAGAGAGATAGAGTAGGAGAGGACACTAGATTTTCCGTTTAGACCGCGTCAGTCATTAATGACTGACACTAGACTTTACGATAGGCCACGTCAGTCATTAATGACTGACATCCAGACTTTACGATTAAGCCACGTCAGTCATCGGTGACTGACAACGTATAACATGATACATCTAAGCGGCGCGCGTGGCCTGACGGGGACAATCCTTGAAAACGAACGTGGCCTGACGGGGACTTCTTTGAAAATGAGCGTGGCGCTCAACGTGTTAATAAAAAAAAGAAGGAACTCAGGTTGATATAAACAAATTTAGATTATATCATTTCACAATGGTAATTTATAAAAAGATAAATATATAAAATATCAAACTATATATTTTATATTATTAAATTAATAAATATTAATTATATTTAATATTATAAATAATAAAATAATAAAAATAATAAAAATAATATTATATAATTATTATAAATATATTACAATTAAATTTATATTAAGAAATAATAGATTTGTTGTTTTATTATTATTATTTAACGAGAGTTGATTATATATATATATGTAATATATTTATTAATAATTAATTTAATATTTAATTTACTATATTAATATTTATTTATAATTATTTAATTTAATTTATTAATAGTTAATAAACATTCTTTTATTTTCCCTTTACACTCATTTTTTCCTAATTTAATAAATAATAATTTATTATTAATTATTATTTTGTTTCTTCCTATTCTAATTCTGTTTTTTTTTTTTTAAATGTATCATCCTAGTGGAAGAAAAAATATTGAATTTGTTAAGTTTGATGGTGCAATGGATGTTTGAAACAAAGATTATTCACAGAAATGTTAAAAGGAAGCTGTGTACGATTAGTAAGAGTCATGATGATTCATAAACTCAAAGGTATCTATCTCTTTCTCTGTCTCTCTCTTTTATGCTTCCGTTTCAATTTCTTTGTGTTAATTTACTTTTTATTTTATTCGTTTTCTTTTTTTTTTTTTTTACCTTTTTGCTTTGGCATTTCCAAATCGATTTACAAAAACGATTAAAATACTTCAATGTATTTTACACGTCATAGTGAACAGTCATCATCATCTCTTCTTCTTATTTAATTTTGTGCATGTGTATATGTGTGTGTGTGTGTGTGTGTCATCTTCGAACTATCTTATAAAATCTTTATAACAGGAAAATGATCTTCGTCATCATTTTAAAACTACAATGGAATTATTATTATTATTATTTAGAATCAAATTGTTATTTGCAAAATAACCACAGTTTCAAAAGTTCGTTCAAATTATTTTTATTAACAGTCCTTTTTTTTTTATTATTTATTACCATGATCGTAATTTTGTTATTTTACTTATATATATATATTTATTTAAAAAACACAAATTATCACAAATAATTAGTTTAAAATTATTTTATTATAATCAAATAAAATGAAAAATACAAAGAATCTTTAAAACTTAAAGTAGTTTAAACTAAAAATCGGATTTTCCTTCTATCACTTATCGTCGTTTACTTTGACATTATTGAGATGAATCAATAAAAGAAAGAAAGAGAGAAAGAGAGATAGAGAAAAGTGATCAATCGATCGATAAATATCGTTTAGAATCGAACAACTTGTATGACCCTTAATACCATTTTAAAGTACCAATCATGATATTGACAAACACACAGACTTTGATTATCTTCAAACTTGATTCCCCACTTATATAACTAAACGATTGAAAAAATAGTTTTGCAAGAAGAAGAAGAAGATATTCGATATATATATATTATTATATAAATAAAATATAAATAAATAATATAATATAATTATATGAATATGGTATATGGTAAATGATATATAATCATATATATATTATATAAATAAAAAATATATAATTTATATTTTATGTTTTAATATTTATTTAATAAAATATTAAATTTAATATTTTTAATTTTTTATACTTTTAATAATTTATTATTTTTTATTCTTAATATTAATGAAATTGAGTTATACTACGAATTTTGGACTTTCCCAAAAATTAATTTTTCGAGTAACAAAATTAACTCGTAAAAAAAAAGGGGCAAGGATATCGATTTTCCTGGAGAGTTTTTTTTCTTCCCTTTTTTAAGGTCTACTTAAAACACTAATCCTTTTCTCGATCAAGGATCATTATCGTTGGTTCTGAATTGAATCCCTTCTAAAGGGAATGATTTATGAGATGATCGTTTAAAAAAAAAGAGTAATCAAGAGTTAAACGAGGAGATCGATTTTGTTGAATTTCAAACAACGAAAAAGAAACCTTACCAACACAAAATTCTATTCTTGATCACTTGATCATCAATTTCAAAAAAAAAAAAAAAAAAAAAAAAACCATCAAAATGAATAATAAATAAAAATTGGGAACGTTAAAAAATATTATAATAGAAATAATTAATATTATTTTCATCCATTTTCTCGTTCATTTTATTATACTCTGTGAATGAGAGTACTCTAATTAAATCGTCCTAAATTATATTTAAAAATGTTGTTAAATTAATGTCACAGCTGTATTTTCAAAACTAAACCTACCACTCCTCCCCCTACTTCATTTCTATTAATATAATAACAAATAATAATTGTAATTTATTATATTTATAAATGTATCAAAAGAAAAAAATGTAATAATGTATATCTAATTTTATAATTGTAAAAAGTTAAATTAAATAATTAAAAATAATAATAATAATAGTAATAATAATAATAATTAAATAAATAAAATAAAAAATGTTCCTTTAATTATAATTTGTAAAAAAAATTAAAGAAAATAATTTAAAAAAATAATAATAATAATAATTAAATAAATAAAATGTATTATATTTTAATTGATCTTAGTTTGTTATATTTATATTAATTTAAATTTAGTTTAATTTATATACCAATTGTCAAAATGTATAATGAAATGTTATATTACTGAAATACTGTATTTTATCTTGTTGACTATCAGGAGAATATTGGAAATCAGTCAAGGTTGGTATTAACCCGATGTTAAATGAAAATCCTACCACAAGTATCACGATGTATGTGTAACGACCCGAATTCAAATTTGGCGCGCTTGCCAATAATCGAATCCTGAGGTATATGTAATTATATATACATATMCATACATACATACATATACATAGATACATATACATATACATTAACCCAAAATGTTATCTCAAAGGATATTTATCAATTACATCCTATACTGTATAAATAAAAAAATTAAATTTAAAATAAAATTAAAATCAAATCAAAAACAAAAAGAAAAGATCAAATAAAAATTCAAACTAAAGTAAAACGAAATTAAGAAATCAGGTCGAGTATCTGAAAATAATATTAGACCTATGCTAAATTTGTTTTAACATTTAAAAAAAAAAAATAAAATAAAAATCAAATTAAAAAACTAACCTAAATTTGAAAATTAAACTTTGACACAAATTATCATTCAATCGTTGTTACTTTTATATTGTAATTAAAAGATAAAGTAAAAAATGAACAATACTAACCTAAAAATAATATTACACGTATTTATAAATTGTTTTAACATTTAAAAAACAAAAATTCAAATAAAAAAACTAACCTAAATTTGAAAATTAAACTTTCACACAAATTATCATTTAATCGTTGTTACTTTTATATTGTAATAAAAAGATAAAGTAAAAAATGAACAATACTAACCTAAAAATAATATTACACGTATTTTAAAATTGTTTTAACATTTAAAAAACAAAAATTCAAATACAAAAACTAACCTAAATTTGAAAATTAAATTTTGATACAAATTATCATTCGATTATTGTTACTTGTATTATTATACTATTATTAATGAAATATTAAAGGTATTAATATAATAAAAAAATAAAATAAAGAATGAACAATACTTATACATGATTATATATTAATCTGTGATATGAAATCTTATCAAATTGCAATATCATTTTTCTAGAAATATAAAAATATCGACAAATATGATAAAACGAGTATACAATTTGTTCAATAAATAAACTAAAGGATAACGATACAGTACAAGGTTGTACACTAATCTAAGTTTATCTAAATCTCATTAAATTATAGTTAGTGTACAGTTTCACACCGGAGAGTTTCACACCGGAGAGTTTCACACTTCTATTAGAATATATACATATATATATATATATATTCATATATGTTATATGTACTGGTTGTTTCTAAACTAACCATTTATTTTAATAAAATCATTTTATTATTTATTATACAATAAATAAATAAATAAATAAATAAATGTATGAACTATTTAATATAATATATAATAACATTTCTAATTTCAATTTGATCATCTTACTCTTTTCTATTAAATTAAATTAAATTAAATTAAATTAAATTAAATTAAAAAAATGATCACAAAAATATTTAAATATAATTAAAATAAATAATAAAGTTTATATATAACACTAAAAATATATTATTTATAATTTATAATATATTTTAATATTAAATTAAAATACTATTATTAATTATTAATATGTATATACATATAAATATATATATATATATATATATATATATATATATATATTAAAATATTATATAATTGAAAATTATTATTTAAAATAAATAATATATCTTTAGAAACACCCAATAAATATATATATGTTTTGCGTAATATCACTGTCTGTTAGCAAGACCACTTTCAAGTCGACTTTTGATAATTTTACCCACGTCAAATAATTTTCTCTTTAACATATAACCCATGGTAAATATCTGTGTATGTATATATGCATGTGTTAGTAAATACCCAGTGTAACTTTCACAAGAAACTGCACAACATTTCTTTCTATCTCTCTCTCTTTCTTAAAATGTATTTTAACTCTTATCACAGAAATAATCTTTAAAACAAGAAGAATTAAAAAAAAAAAAAAATATTGAAATTATTTTAAAAAAACTCACCACTTTATCATCGGCGTATATCATTGATGATCCTGGTGGTGCACCGGTGGTGAACACAGTAAAATACAACACTATTACAACTTGGAAAATCATCTTCGTGGTGAACAGTAACTTTTTGACAATCAAAAATTATTAAAACCAGTCTATCAATGTTCTTATATAATAATAATAATAATAATAATAATAATAATATTAATTAAAAACAAACACTTTTTCACCATTAATTTATGAAACGTTTTTTGTTAATTCTTCGATCACTGTTCAAATGAAATTCAAATTCAATTGGTAAAAATTGAATTGGTGTGTGTACGTTATTTTTGTTTATGCAACAGTTCCACTGAATATTTGACACAAACACACTTCTATAAAAATAAATAAAAAAAAATAAATTGTAAAAAAAGAAACAAAAAACAAATAAAAGAATAAGTGAACACAAGAAGATAGGACAGAAAAAAAACGATACTACTTCGTACGAGGATCGAGACGTTACTGATGATTAAAATACCGGTTAGTGTGTGTTTCCATTAGAAAAAGAGGAAAGAAGGAAGGAAAAATTCAAATAGTTATTTTATTGAACACTTGAGAGTGGGGATAAGGAAAAAAACCAAAAAAAAGAACGAACGTACGAATTCATTTTCTTACAAGGGGCCAAAAAAGGGGACAACAGAAACACGTAAAATGGGTGTGGTGGATGACAAGGTATTTTTGATTATTCAAATTTAAGGATTTTAATGAAATTTAGGATTTCAATTAAATTATGGGATTTCAAAAATTAGAAAAAAATATATTTTTTTAACACTACCATAACCCACCACCATCACCACCTCCACCATAACCCCCACTACAAGCACCTTTTTCTTCTTCTTCTTCTTCTTCTTTTTGTATTTTTGTTTCTTTTTTTCTTCTTCTTCTTCCCCCACCACCTCCTCCTCCTCCTTCTCGTCCTCTTTTCGTCCACCTCCCCCCCGCCGAGCACTTTTTCTTCTTCTTTTTTTTAGCAAATCTATCGACTTCCGTCAACTTGCCACCACTGGTGGCACCGTTGGTAACACCACCACCACTACCACTACCACCACTATTATTATTATTAATACTAATACTATTAAAACTTGTTCTTCCTTTTCTTCTTCTTTGCCAATGACGACAACAACAACCAAGAAGACGACGCCGGATTCCGGCTTCGTACTTTCCTCCGAGTTTGGACTTCCCAACGATTGGCACGTCCATCCGCCGATCTATAATTTTAATCTTTGTTACTTTTCTTTTCTACGATTTTTTTCTTTTTTAACAAGTAAAATTATTATCTTATTAAACGTGTATATTAAGACAGTTTATTGGTTATGTTTTGATTCTTAGAATTTCATTGGAAAACATTTGAAATACGTAAGTCAATATACGAATTGAAATTTTTGTTGGATGATACATTGTATCAGGGTTGTGTCAGGGTTTAATCAAGTTTTCTACATTTTTTTTTTACAAGTAAAATTATTATCTTATTAAACGTGTATATTAAGACAGTTTATTGGTTGTTTTAATACTTAAAATTTCATTGGAAAACATTTGAAATACGTAAATCAATATACTAATTGGAATTTTTGATAGAAGATAAATTGCATCAGGGTTGTTTCATGGTTTTATTATATATTTTTATTTATATTATATTATTTATATTATATTAATTATTATATTATAATATAAATTTAATAACGAATTATTATATAGGATAGATATAGGTTATGTCAGTTTATGTCAAAGTATAAATATATAATAATTATTATATATTAATTATAAATTATCAGGATATAAAGAAAATATATAACGAGACACCCTATAATATTTTAATCGAAATAATAATAATAACAATTGTTTGTATAATTTAAAAGTATTCGGTTGGCAACTTAGTTATCACTGATTTTAAAAAGCCATCTATCGACAAAATCCGCAATCATTTACTTGCCAATCTATTAGTGTAATTCTAATTAATTATCTTCATTGAAAATGATTCTTCTGTTTGAATCATTTGTAAAATATAAGGAAAGGATTAAAAGGAAATATTGTTTTAAATGAAAAAGGAAGAAAATGAAGAAGGATACTTTGAATATGGCGGTTTTATGATCGTCATCATTGTCTATAGAGACAGAACAAGAGTTTCGATATCACGGAGCAAAGAATTCCGGTTATCGAAGCGAAAAAATGAGGTCGAGTGGCGTTGGCACGCTCACAAAGATAACAATCCTCACAGTTCTCTTCTAGTTAGGTTTGTTCATCGTTCTTCCGGTTTCCGGTTTCCTGTATGTTCCTTCTTCATTCCCTTTTTTCGTTCCATTTTTTCGTTCCCTTTTTCGACCCTTATTTTATTATCTTTACAATTTAATTGTCAATTTAGAAATATATTTTTCAATTTATTTATTAATTCATTTGGTTTCTTTAAAAAATTTGTATTATTTTTCATTAATTTTATTTTGTCAATCATTTTTGATTGTACTTTTACAAATAATTTTCGATAATCTTAGGTTATGTTGGTATATTATTATTAATTCATGTATTCTTCAATTATTATCGATTGTTTAAATCATTTTCGGTAATAATTTAGGTTATGTTCGGTTTTTTAATTATTAAAAATACGTTCCAATCAATGATAGTAATTTATTCTAGTTATATTTGATATTTCTTTCATTTCTAGTAATATATTGTAAGATAAAAAAAGTAAAACTAAAAGAAACAAGAAATAAAATTTTATTCTACATTATTTTTTTGTTGTTGTTATTTTCTTTCGATTGAATTTAAAATAACGATAGTAATAAAATATATCGCAAGATTAATTTATTAATTATCTTCGTACAAAGAGAATGAATATGATGATTAAAATTAATCATTCTCATTTGCCTCGAAAAATGTTTAACCCTTGTCAGTAATAAGATAACAAAAAAAAGGGGTGACAAAGGGATGACTAACAATCATTATTATTTCATGTTATATCAACCAAGGTCAAACATATGCAATCTTCTCCATTTTTCTTTTTTAATGTTCATTTCTCTGTCTTTTTCTTATTTATCTGAATTCAAAGAGTTTGCAGAATCAACTTGAAATTAATTCATTTGGATGATTTCAACATTATTGCGTTTTAACGTAGTATTAGTATAAATCAAAATATATACATGTGTATGTTTGATAATTGAAAAAACAAACAAGTACAAAAAATTTTCTTATTTCTTCATATATTTATATATTTATATATATATATATTAGGTGGACTGTAAAGTAATGTCGTTTTTTAACCTCAAAACTCAAACGAATACATTTTTCAAACAAATATTTATTATTAATCAATAATTAAATTAATTAACAACCTTTTTCTATCTGGTACGGAATATTTTTAATATCGTAACGATAAAAATCATCAATCATTTTTTTGATTAAAGTATTAATAGAAAAATTTGACTTGCGTAGTAACGACGCCATTACTTTTTGATCCCTGTAAGATATATATATATATATATATATATATATATATATAATATTATAAGTAAATGTGAACTCATATGGGATGACACCAATGAGAATGCGTCAGAATATATTATTTGCAAATAAAAAATAAAAAATATAAAAAAAAATAAAAATAAAAATAAAAATAAAAATAAAAATAAAAAAAGTAAAAAGACACGTAATAGTCATGGTTATGTCAGTAAATAATAGGAAGTATAGTAAGTGCATAAGTATGTAATATTATACATCGTTCTAATGGTGTGATAAATGAAATAGACGAGGAACTCAACGAGAGTTCTTGATATCTTCGTCTACTTATCTCCCTTTGTGTTTCTTTTTTTTTTATTTCTTTCTCCTACACTTTCCCCCACCACCTAACCTCTCAACCATTTCAGTACAAAGACGCCTCTTCGTTTTATTCTACATATATATATACTGCATGTTGATTTGTACTTTAACCAATTGATTATTATTCAAGTTTTTATCATATCACCAACGAATACGATCACATCATCATCATCATCATCATAATTATTATTATTATTATTATTATTATTATTATTATTATTATTGTTGTTGTTGTTAATCATTAGATAAGATTATTAATTATTATTTTTTTCTTAAGTAATTTATTTGAATTTATTTCTTATTTTTTTAATAGATGTACAAGGTTTCTCCCGCCATTTTTTCAACAGGCTATCTGTAGGAAAATAATGGAAGTAAAGTCGTACACTTAATAACAAAAGTAACAACAAGATCGTGAACGTTTTTACTGTTATTTTATAGGTCAACATTGATAATAAATTTCTTCGTTAAATGTTGTATTTTTTTTTTAACGTTCAATGATTAAACACACACGCACACACATATACAAATTTATCGTAATTATTGGTTTAGTTATTATATATAATTACTACAATCTTATTTAGGTTAGTTTTAAATATATATATATATATATGTATTAATTATTTAATAATAATATTATTATTTTTATATTATTTATTTTATATTATTGTAAATTTATATAATAAAAATAATTAATATTAATATAAATATTATTATTATTATTATTATGTATATTAAAATTAACAAAGTTGCATTAATTGCACTGCAATTAATCAAACGGCTAATTCAATTCTACAAAATGGTTCCTACAATAAAAGAAAAAGAAAAGAATAAATGAATGAATGAATGAAAAAAAAACCCCTAGGAAAACCCTAAGATAATTTTGACATCGATTAATCTGACTAAATGAAAATGACTACAAAGACTTCTCAAAATAAAAGATAGTAGCTGATAGATGTGTAAAGGGTTGGAAGAATCAGAAGGATGAGGAAGGGGAAAAAGGAAGGTGGGGATGAAAAGTGTGGGGGTGGGGATTAAAAGTATGGGGAGTGGGGATGAGAAGTATGGGGAGTGGGGATGAGAAGTATGGGAGTGGGGATGAGAAGTATGATGGTGGGAGAAATAGAAGAATTAACGAGGAGGATGAGAATGAGGTAAAAAGAGACTCATCGAAGCGAGAAGGCAAACCTTCCAAGTAGAAATCCAAACGTTCCGTGCATTCTCTTCCCATCCTATCCCATCCCATCCCATCCCATCCCATATCACTCTCTACCCCATACCCTAAGCCTTACCATAGCCATTTCAAGAACTGAGAGAGAGAAAGGTCGTGTGTCACAAAAGCGGAACCGTTTCGTGGACGGTCACGAACAATTTCGAAGTCAAAGTTCACTGTGATAACCCACCCAACCCCACCCCCCTTACTCCCCACCCCTCACCCTTTTCGTTACTCTTCAATACCTTCCCCCTCTACTTATCTTCTTCTTCCTTTCCCCCCACCCTGTTCACCTTTTCTTTTCTTCCACGTATTTGAATTTCTGCGAAAGATCGGCTTAAATTCTTCGTGAACGTTTGTTAAATCGTTCAAATTCAATGCTAATTATTAGAAATTATCTTCAAGGGTTTTTTTTATTTTATTTTATTTTTTATTTTTTAAATTGTTTATAGCTTTGTTATTGTTTATAGATTGTTGTTGACCGGGTTACGAGTAAACTTGTGGAGCATATTTTTTTGTTGAGATCAAGTTGAATATTTTAGAAGGAAAATACAAAAGATGATAAGATAGAAAATAAATAATAAATTATATAAATAATAAATAATGTTAATAAATATATTAGTAAATTTGTTATTTTGTTTATTATATAAAAAAAAAGTATTCAAAGTTAATAAGGAAAAATTTATTAAA